GCTAGAAAAAAGTGGAATAGATAGCACCACCACTAGATTCGCAACTGGCTGGCAAACCGTACTCAACGAGTAGTCCTTAATGGGTCAAAGTCTACATGGAGGGAAGTAAGCAGTGGGGTGCCACAAGGTTCTGTCTTAGGCCCAGTACTCTTCAATATCTTCATTAACGACTTAGATGAGGGAATAGAAGGGGAACTTACCAAATTTGCAGATGATACTAAGCTGGCAGGAATAACCAACACCCCAGAAGATAGGCTCAAGATCCAGATGGCTCTTGACAGACTAGAACACTGGGCCATATCTAACAAAATGAAATTCAATGTAGAGAAAAGTAAAGTCCTACACTTAGGCAAGAAAAACCAAAAGTACACATATAGACTGGGTGAAACCAGGCTGAATAGCAGTAACTGTGAGAGGGATCTTGAAGTCTTAATGGACAACCGGTTAAACATGAGCATCGTTTCTCAAAGTTGCCAAAGGTGCAATCTTATTGTGTATTGATGATATCAAGCTCCAGAACCATGAATTGCACAGCTGCAACCAAAAAAGCCAAATGCAATCTTAAGTTGCATTAACAGAGGGATACAATCAAGATCAAATGAGGTACTAATAGCACTCTATAAAGCCTTAGTAAGACCACACCTAGAGTACTGCATCCAGTTTTGGTCACCACACTATAAAAAAGATGTTGAGGCTCTAGAAAAAGTGCAAAGAGCAACCAGGATGATTAGGGGACTGGAGGCTAACATAAGATGAACAGTTGCAGGAACTGGGCCTGGCTAGTCTAGTGAAAAGAAGAACCAGCCTTCCAATATTTGAGGGGCTGCCACAGAGAGGAGGAAGGGGTCAAGCTGTTTTCCAAGACACCCGAAGGCCAGACAAAGAATAATGGATGGAAACTAAACAAGGAGAGATTCAACCTGGAAATAAGGAGACATTTTCTGACAGTGAGAACAATCAACCAAGGGGACAGAAGTTGCCTTCAGAAGTTGTGGGAGCACCATCACTTGAGACTTTCAAGAAGACATTGGACTGCCATTTGTCAGAAATGGTGTAGGGTCTTCTGCATGGGCAGCGGGGGTTTGAACTGGATGACTTACAGCAGGGGTCCCCAACCACCAGTCCCTGGACCGGTACCTGTCCGTGGAACAATTTCTACCGGGCCGCCGGTTTGCTGGGCGCCGCCATCTTGTTTTGATGAAAAAGTGCTTCCGGTGAGCTTTTCCGGGTAGAAAGCGGCGTTTGGGTGCTGAAAGAATCCTCGCGCCTTAGTTTCATCGAGGGGGGGGCGGCTTCGAACAAAACTAAGGCGCGAGGATTCTTTCAACACGCATGGCAAGGCGAGCCGAGCGACCGTCCTGAAGCCGTCGCGAAGCCCATCGACACAGGTACAAAGGAGGAGTTGAAGGTGGCGGGGACAAGCGGGGGACGGCTGGCTGGCCGGTCGCTCGCCTCGCTTTGCCATGCGTGCTGATGCCGGTACCGGGCCACGGATGATTTTGTGATGCCGGTACCGGGCCGCAGATGATTTTGTGATGCCGGTACCGGGCCGCGGCACAAAAAAGGTTGGGGGCCACTGACTTACAGGGTCCCTTCCAGCTCTGTTAAACTGTATCTGTATCAACTCAAAGAGAAATAAGACGGAGGCGCATCTTGGCTCACAGGCTCATCAACTTTCTTGTAAGTAATTTGGTGTTTTATGGCAATTGGAATGCCATGGCCAATTACACTGTATATTTATATGTGAACAATAAAAATATATTCAAAATAAAATAAAATATACACTTACCCACTAAAAAAAAACCAAGCTCGGAGAGCAACAAGGACCCCTCATACTAAAGTTTCTAAGTCAGGAAGGCTGGATTTACACAGCTGCGAAGCCATAATTCCTGATTTTACAAAACATACCAGTTAACTTTCTGTAACAGACTGTGCCCAAACCAAGGAAGGTACATGGTGTTCCACCCATTTTGTTCAACCTACAAGAAGACCTCATCATCTCCAGATCTCTTTTCCTAAAATGGCCCAGCCCATCTTGGGGGCAACAGGCAGGAAGCTGGATTTCACCTGGCCAAATCCACTATAGTTTCTTGGCTGGTTTGTCCACTCTTACTGAACATGGGAATGGAAGGTATCTGCCCTTAGGTGTGTTCTGTTCACTTTTGACCTGCTTGAAGTGAAGAAGCGACAGGTTTGATAGATCAGTGGCAACTTAAGCCTTCCGAATGAAAGATCAGCTATTGTCATTAGAGAAGAGGTAGTTTCTTTTCTCTTCCAACTGTTAGTTCCTATTACTTTATACCTGCTTTTCTGTTGACCTTTCCTCAGAAAGGAAAGACACTTATAAGAATAGCAATTCCTGCAATTTAAACCTCACTGGAGTTAATTGGATGCCCATATGGAGACACAGAAATCTCAGGTTAAGTGCTCTTTATAGAAGTAAGCATAAAGGTCTATATTATTAGCTCAGTTTTCTGGATTGGCACCATTCATTGAACTATAAAGCAACCCCAACCAACTAAAATAAGAATTGGCTGAACAGGTGCAAGGTACCTTCTTTCAAGTATGGTGGCTTTGCCTGGAAGTTAAAAAGTACTAAAGTAGAAAAATGGTTAAATGAAATGACACATCCTAAAAATTTAAAATATTTGATTTTACACATAACCACAGCAGCGAGAAGCGCACTCGCACAATGCTGGAAAATGGTCACCATACCGACAGATTGTTTAGTAATCCAAAAGATTTTAGATTGCGCAGAAATGGATAAACTCACTTTAGAGTTAAAAGACAAGGAAGACTCCGAATATTACAGAGTTTGGGAAAATTGGTATCAATTGATAGATAATAGGAATAAGAAATATACAGATCAGAAGGAGATATAGATACGTATATGTATATGAATAATTAGAAATGTATGGAAATGTATGCATATAAACAAGATATTTTAGTACTGTCAAAGAAGATTGAGATTTGTAAAAAGTTATTTTTAAATTTACTTGTATTTTAATGTTTCAAATTTCAATAAAGGTTAATTTTTTTAAAAAAAAAGAGTTGGGTGAATGGTGCCCATAGTTCCTGGTCTCTGTGAAAGATGATCTTTACATTTTCGCCTGCCCTAAAATGAAGAAGGAAGAGATTGACAAAGCATGGCCTCTACAGCCATAAAACTTTATTCCTTGCACTACCAGTGAACAGAGCATAGGGAAAGGCCACTACCAGAGAAATTCCAAACTTGCTTCTTAACACAAACCATTTGCTCTAAAATTTCTACTATAGACAGCACCCGTTGGCTGGTCATACTTTCCACCCTTAGTAAGAACCCTCCACAGAAACACAATGCTTGTACCTTTTAAAGCTGTTTCCATAAAAGTGAGGAACATACTAGACATACCTTCATGTTTTCATGTCTATTATCAACACTCAAAGCAAATTAAACCATAAACCATTTTCTTTCCCAAAGGGGAAAAAATATTCTCTCCCAAGCAAGAAAACATTTCCCAAACAAGAAAAAAAAAATTCTCGAACAAGAAAAAAAAATTACTTTCCCAAACAAGAAATTTTTTTTACTTTCCCAAACAAATTCCCAAACAAAAAAAACAACCCTCACGTTTTTCCCACTGTTGGAGGTGGAAAATAAACATCTTGAGGAAGCTGAAAGTCATTTTAAATACATTCAGATACAGTGTTTCTAATGGAAAGTCTGCAGAGTGGGTATCTGTAACTCTTATTAATAGTCTGGCATTGAGGTCCTAATCAGGTCTACCTAGAACAGACATGGAAAAAAGTGACAATTTCGAAACAACAGCCAAGTGTCAATCTACGCCTATTGCTGGCAGTTCTCTAAAGGGGAAATAGCTTTCCTTGGCAATATCCAAGGAGTCCCAATCCACAAAGCGGTTAGGAGCCTACCAATGGGTTGCCTGTTGGATTAGAGATGCATGCGTGGAGAGAGTACGGGCTACAATATACAGCTCCTTCGAGTGCTTTTAAGTAGAAAGGGACGGTGCTTGCACGATGTGGATTCCATTTAAAACTTTCCATTGTTCCCTTTGGGATCTTTTTGGAAAGAAAAGCGACAGAGCCATCAAAGTCAGGAATAATAAGGAATGCAGGGTCTCAGATTCGTTTGGAAGGGGGGGAGGAGGAGGCTGGCGAAGCCCCCGGGTCTCCGGCCTAGCAATGCACGCTCGTCCCCACCTCTTGCAAACTAACCCCCACCCCACCCCCGCTGCGAGAAAGCGTCCCCCTTGCTTGCACGCTTCCCGCCCTTTTGCAATCTGCTCGGGGGGGAGGGGGGCGATCCTTCCATGCAGACCCATCGGGCCAGCCTCTACCTCGCCATCTCCCCGGGGGGGGGGGGGGGGAGAGACACACACTCTTAGCACCCCTCCCCCATCTGCACTCTTCTTCCTCCTCCTCCTCCGCCGCCGCAGCCACTGCCTTCGCCAAGAGAAGGCGCTAGGGCAGCCATGTTGCAGCCGTGCAAGGGAAAGCGAGCTCGCCCGTGTTTGCACGCTGCCCGAGGGCTTTGCACGCGCCCCTTCCTCGGGAATGGGGGACGGGGGTGGGGGACGGACTTTTGGCCTCTTGCAGAGGGAGAGTGGAAGGAGGGGGTGCAAAGAGGCCGCTGCGAGCGCGCGAGTTTGCACGGGGAGGGGGGGGGGGGGTTCCTTCTTTCCGTTGCCCCGAGGGGGGTTGGTTGGGTGCCAGGAGAGACGACGAGGGTCGTGCAAGCTTGCAAGAAAGGGAGGGAGGCTGGCCTGGGAGCCCCTCGGGCCATCTTGCCCGTTTGGAGGGGGAGAGGAAGAAAAAAA